GTTGGCATGGTTGCAAATGTCTCATTTCAATATAGAAATTTCCGACCGAAATTTTGAATTTACTTCCTTCTGTTTTAAGCAAATTGAAAGGGGGGTGTGAATAACTTTTTTCTTCACGTTAGCATTTTAGGTCAGTGGTGTTCACCATAAATTTAGGTCGATTGTGACGTCAAAATGACGTAAATTTGGCCAAAATCCGCCATGTCTTTGGCCACACATTTTTGACTGACGAGGTATTGGAGCACGATCTCCAGATATATTAAGTATAGCTCAGTGGTTCCTACCCTCTTATTTTCTCCTTAATTTTTCTCGCTTGCTTATTATTTTGCCAGGAGGGGCGGCAATGCCGTGCAGCATGTAGATTGGGACGAGTAAACATGGCGATGGCAGACGAAGCAGAAGTGGAATTTGTTTCGAATATTAAAGAACTATTTATGAAACAAAATAAGAAGTTATGAATATTCTGATCTTTTAAACATAATTATAATGCATGAGTAAGTATAATACCATTTCTAAATTTCTATTTAACAACACTACACCTGTCCTATTGCCCGTGTTTGGATAAGACGTATAGCCCAAGTTATGAGGGTATCGCTGTAGGTTATTGGACACTCTTGGTCGATTATTGGACGAAAAATAGAACGGATTATTAGACGAATTATTGGTTGGATTATTGGACGATTGAAAATCTTTGTGCTGGAATTCACACAAGGGACCCTTTAGGCAAAAGCTTCTCCGTCTTAGAAATGGGCAAGGTACCAAGTGCTTGAGCAAAGGTTGGCTGAGAATAGCGGAATTACGTTTGATAACATTACTCGTACGTGGCCCTCTCGATGGATTGCTTCTAGGTTGATTTCTTGCCTCAATAGCTACATTCAATAACTGAATTCATCTGAGGATTGTACACCGATCCTTTGTCGGCCCGAGAAGTCTTATTGCTAACTGAGAGAGAGGTGTTTAACTCTAAATTTCTATTTAAATCCTGGGGTTGTTTATCAACAATAGTCATCGGTTCATCAGGAATGTTAGTTGTATCAATTAAGTCTAGGTCATTGTTTCCAAATGGGCCCTATATAAGCTTTATAAACTGAATATTAAATGATGCTCCCATTATGCTTTGCACCATTAGAGTTTAATGTTTAGAGTTCTAGGTTTTTTAAAGGACAACATTTTTTGAATTAGCTGTATAGTCCTTTGGTTTATAGTGTAATTTGCATTTGAATGCTTTTAAAAACTCACGTCATACACGTGTATCTGCATGTGTACGTTTTTCCAAATTGCACGAAAAGCCACTATTTACATTATTACATATATAAATAATAGCATACATAACTTAGTCACCTAGTACAGGTATTACTGTGTATTATAGGATGGTTTCTCGTGAAATTTGGATAATACAATTAGCACTCGTGAATTTTTCAAAGACTTTGATGCTCTTTGAAAAACTCACTCGTGCATGTTTTATCCTGCTTTGTTATATCACATTATTATAACAACACAACGGCTTGAAAATTTCACTAAACTATGTAAGTTTTGCTAGTCTCGTTTAAGGTAAAGACGGTAAAGTCGTTTCCATTTAAAGAGCTAAAAAGCCATATTTTCCCTCCGAACTCGACTTTTACTTTAGCTACGTAGCGCGTTTTGAAGCAATCTATGTGACCGTCACTTGAGGAGTGGACTGCTTTATTAAGTAAGCTGATTGGTTAATTTCAGATCCCATTGTTTTCCCACCAATTGTATCAGTTTGTTACAGATTTTTGCACTATTATTACAGATTTTTAACCGTTGTTACTGAATTTTGCACTGCTGTTTAAGATTAATTGCATTGAAATTAACCAATCATTGTAGAGTAACATTTTTATGTATTTTGTCACCATGCTCACTAATTTTATGACATGACAGCTTACACCCGTTTTCAAATTTACGCGACCAGGTCGAAAATAGCTTGAACATAAACTGAAACGAAAATAACATTAACATAAACTTTATCTTTGATTTTCTCGGCTTAGACGACGTTTATTTTAAAAATTACCTCAACAATGAATGGGTCGTTTTTAAGCCATTTCAAAACACTCGCAGTCCGCGTGCTTTATCAGATATATCGAGCTGCGTTCTCATGTTTTATATCTAATAAAGCACGCATGCTCGTGTTTTAAATAGTACTTGACAAAGAAAAAAGTTATATATACCATAGCCAGTGCCGTAGCTACTGTAGCATGTATAGTTGGGGGGAGGGGGGTGTAGGCAAAAAATTTCCGAATGACGAAAAAAATTTCCGAATATTTCATAGCATACGAAGCCACGAAGGTGTTTGCTATCCGGAAAATGAAGACGCAATTTGCAATTGGAGGCCGAAAACGAGGGCCGGAGGCCCGAGGAAATTTTTAAATTTAGAGTCTCTGAAATGCCATTTCCTGGACTTTGAGGACGTTTTGACAGAATTCTGATGGTCAGAAAAAAGCGTTTTAGTATGTCGAAATTTACAATTTGCTTACAATTTAGTAGTACTAAGTGGGCGAAAGCATATTTAATTAACTATACTGTATATTACAGAAGTTGCAGGAAAGTATGGGTAAAATGATTCTTTACAGTTTGTCAAGTTATTGGGAGGGCTGAAGCT